TACGTGTGTGTGTGTTTGTGTGCGTGTGCATGTGCGTGTGCGTGCGTGGATATATCGTTCTTGTTTGTTTTTTTGGTTGTGTCTGTTTATTTGTTTGTATTTGTGTGTGTGTATTACATGTGTTTTCTATGTAACATTGTGTTGTTTTATTCTGAAATTTGATGTATATGTTTCTTTCCTTACATTTAAAGTGATTGTGCATATTTGTATTTCCAATATTTTTCCGATTATCTCCGACTTCATATACATAATTTTGTAAACATGCTGGTTTTATTGTTTCATTCGCATGTATGAATCCATACCCTCAAACATATTTAAATTTATTTATTTATATGCTATCAAACACGTATATGTATACATTGATATCTCGTATGGTTAACATATGTATAGATGTACATATATATTGTTGTACGCGCAAAGATATAAAAGTTAATTTTGATATTAAAGGTATGTTTTTATGGCAATACGTTCGTATTAACGTATACTTTTTGGTAATTTTGTGTGCGAATTTTGACTAGTATAATCACCTACACCGTAGTGATCCTTGTCCTTTAAAGTTTTTATGAAGGTAAACTTTCACCCACTTCTAAACATCTGAGAGTTATCTTCAAGACCTCGACAGTTGTTCATATGTCCATATGAATCTATTCCGCTCGTTCCTAGGTGCCAGTGCGAAGGAAGCTTTAATCGCCATTGTGAAGCGCATGAACAACCCGAACCCTACCACAGGCTATAATGCGGTTAAGCTATTGGAAGGGGCCTTCAACAACGGAGGACGATGCTTCAAAGTCGAATGCGCACAGGAACCGCTGGTTGACGAGATATATAGACTCCTACAGACCAGGGTACGTACGTCTTGCTGCTAGTAGCAATACATCATATGACCACCCTGCTGTACCTATATTTGCATGGCCTACGCGCATACGTATGTACCCACGTGCACATACGTCAGACTACCTCGTAAACGTGCACTGATGCGTGGTGTGATGCATGTATCGCCAACTGTGCAAGTAGTGTTGCTCGACACACTCGCGTAATCGGTGCGCAGGTGGGCTGAGACTAGTATCTAGAATTGGCTGTAGCACATGACTAAACTATCCTCCCATGTTACGATCATGGCTACATGCACACCGCTGTGCATATACCACTCCTTATTTGAAAAGAGAACGTGATTGACTATGGTTGATGGAGGGGTGTGTGGATCCCATGCATTCTGATGTGCAATCTGAAAAGGTGTATACATATACGTACACATTCATACATTCAGAATCACGGTCATTAAATTAAGGCTGGACCTGTGCCGTCAAACGGCCAACAATGCATGAGATATACGTGGATATACATGCATACTAGTCTTGCTAACCTTCTCGGGCAGGTTCAGATGGTGCAGAAAAATAAGGATCGCTTTTGATACACTACAGCTGCTTTGGATTATAGACTTTTTTGGGGGGTGCAAAGTTCTAAACAAGTCTTGAAGTTCTGTGTCTTGTGTGAGCTACGCCTGGACCGGACCGCTTTCTTTGCACGCATGTTCCTGTCTTTCCGCTACAGTGTTTCGTCTGTATCCTATGCAGCCCATAACTGTACCCAGTGGTTCCCGGCTGTGTGTGTGCCTTAATATTCATGTGTAGCCACTCATATCTATATCATATCAAATAGTACTCCGCTTACATCGCAACCACGTGTGTATCCATATTCACTCCCACGCCACTCACGCCACTCACGCCACTCCTGGTTAATTGTCCTCTCTCAGTCGATGACGCCGCCCAGGGTGTGTGACGCGATCAAGGAAACACTACAGAACATGTGCCTCGATGTGCAGAACGATTCATCCTTCTCGCGACTGTTGGCGCTGTACCACAAACTGAGGAAAGAAGGCTACGACTACCCACCCAGCGAACGCAAGGTGCCGGAACCACGCGTCACTGCGGTGAGTGGGTTGGTACACATTGTATTGGATGATGGTGTAGTAGATAGCCGGCAGTGTCGGAACAGTGGTTGTGCATATTTACCAGTTCTTGTCGTGGTATGGCTATGAGGCTGTGGGTCTATCCAGAGTGATACAATAGTCTGCAATTGTAGACCTATTGATTGCACTCTACCGGAACCATGCGTCTCAGTGGTGAGTGGGCTGATGCATACTTAGAATATAGGGTCATGGCATGGTAGTAAACGGTCGGGATAGTGCTGGTGCGTAGCTCGTAGTTCTGGTAGTGAAGTGCTTGTGAGGTAGTGGCTGTCCACCCAGACGGTAGGTTAAGGCTACGACTACCCACGCCATGGGTGCAAGGTGTCAAAGCCACATACTGCGGCATTGTTTGTACTGCTATCCACATCGTCTGATTGTTTGCCTTTGGTTTTATGCGTGTTCTCCGGTCTCGTGTTTGCTGTGCATTGAGAATTGACACAACAATCGACCCATTCCCACACAATCCGCGGTACGCTTTCAAGTTATGGCCAAGCATACGTGTTACGGCATACTATCAGCATGCTTTGAGACATACTTGTGACCGATTCGGCCTCGGAACAGGTATCAGGTCCAATGTCTTACCAATCCTTGTTTACTATGTATCGCCAACCTCACAGGTGAGCACCCGCGCGGAAATCGAGGCTCAGGAAGATATGGATCTAGCCAAGGCCATTGAAGAGGTGCGTGTACTGACCCTTTCTGTTGTAGCGTGGATTCTGGGCGTTAATCTGCGTGTCAGCTATTTATCGCCTTGAAGTCCACTACAGGTTGTGAAGGGCGCGTGTACTTTCAGTATACAGGCCAGCGATCATGAGATGCCAGGTGTCTAACCAGCTATCAAAAAACCAGACTACATTGACAGTACAATATTTCATACGTACGCACTTCTCACTGTCTGGTCGTATTTTACCTTTTAATTTCAGGTCGATTACTCAGTAGCCCTCTATTGTTTTTTCTCATTGTTCCGCCTACCCACCCGCTTCTCCTCTTGCTAGTAGTACTAGGATTCCTTACCCTTTAAAGGGCCTCCTCCTAAGATGATAGTCATCTATAGTCATGTGTGTGTGTGTGTATTGTCTATTCTTTTCTTTCTCGTCATTGTAGAGCTTCTATGCTTCCAGCGTCCACGGTTATGACTTGATACACTTTGGTTTGAACAGAAACATCCAAAGGTAGTTATACGTAAACGTGAACCGGTATAATGTCCGGTGAGTGGGCCTGATCTGCATAAATGTATTTGGCTTTTGAAAGTGACCCAAAGGGGCAAGCGTCAGATTTGCTAACGCGCTTCTCTGCGGTTTGTTGGTGCAGTCACTGAAGGCGTCGGCAAGTCAACCGGAGCCAAAGAAAGAGAAGAAGAAGAAGAGCAAGAAAGGTAAAACGAAGGATAACAGCTCCAGCATGTATCCTAGCAACGACCAGCCCGCAGCTGGTATGTATGGGTGTCTCTGCCTTACAATGTGATATTTATTGTGTAGTCTATCATTCAAAGTTGTGTTTCACTTTCATGTTATAAATATATACGTCTACATATATACATACATCTATATATATAGTATAAATAGTATATATATATATATGTGTGTGTGTGTGTGTGTGTGTGTGTGTGTGTGTTGGTGTGTCTGTGTGTCTGTGTGTCTATGTATCTGTGAGTCTGTGTGTCTATGTGTGTGTATGTATGTATGTATGTATGTATGTATATATGTATATATATGTGTGTATAT